CGAAGACTTCGGCTCAGATAAGCAAGAACCAAGTTGCTGCGCCCAAGTGCGAAAAGGCCGGTGAAGACCTTTCCTGTAGTTAGATGAATAGAGGATCTGCTGGGCGGTAAGTCCCAGTAAGAGTGTTTTTACTTTAGTAAGACCGATGGACTGACCAGTCAGTCAAAGTTGTTTCTGTCCATGTATGGCATCATGAAGGGTGGTCAACACAGATCTCACTTCGGTGATGGCTGATAAGATCGTGTCTCCTCAGAATGCTTTCCTTGTCTTTCCTTGTCTTCTCCTCTCTCTCTCCGTTACATAGCAATCTACCCTAGCTCACAAGCTCGCAGTGGTTCGTCTTGCCAAGCTGGCAATCCTGACACCGACCCCCCGACGGAGGAGGGCAACTCATGGGTTCAATTCCTCCAGTTGACCACAGCGCAAGTTTCTCGGGGAGGGTAGACTAGCTACCCTAAGGATCTCACTGGAGTGTCTGTCAAACGGATCTCACTGGGCGCGCCGCGAGGACCAGCCGAAGAGTGGCACTAAATTCGCTTTCTTGGCAAGCGGACTTTTTCTCAGAGTGAAACGGACTTCTGTGCTATGTCAACTCTTCGAACGACGCATGAAGATGCATTCCCGCAACACATGAATGCGGTCAGTAGGGCTGATTGCTTAGACTTTTGGTTGGTTTATACTCGCAAGCGAGTGATTGGTCTATCTTCTTCTTTCATGCTGGGGATCTCGCCGTGAATGACTCACTGGAGCCGTTTTCCATCACATTGACTCTCTTTCCCCCGCTCAGAACGACTCTGAAACAACGAAAAACCATCCATTCACTCGCTCATATGGGGTGCAAGTGGCTGCGAAGCCCTTGGTGTCTCCGTGTCTGACTCACCGTTGATCTCCACAAACTAGTTTGCATGCCAGTGGGCCCATGACGGCACAAAAGGCACATAAATCATGCTGCCCCGCCTGCAGCGTGAATGCGCATATGCATCAGTCGAAATGATCATCAAATCGCGTCGCTCGCGCGATGGGTGGATGGATGGGTGGGTGGGTGGGCTGATGGATGGCTGTGAGGGGAGGGGAGCGAAAGGCAAGGGAGGGAGACTGGCCGGTGACATCAGCCCCGCACAAACGTGTGGGCTGGATGAATGTCATCAGATGCCTCAGATGACTCAACTGACCATCCTGTGAGTCACCAATGGGCGTTTGCTGCCTCGCGTGAGAGCGTGACTCAACCTCGGCAAGCAAACTCGCCTTTTCATCATCTGACAATCAAAATGTCTTTCTCCATGGAGTCACTCTTTCATTTTTCCGCTCTTTCACAGAGGGGTGCTTCATGTGTCTTGCGGTCATTTTGAGCCATGAAATGGTCCCTTTGGATAGCTGATGAGTGAGTGATTGGTTTATGCGGTTCATTTTGCTTGTGAATGGAGTGATCGGGATGGGCTGATTGCTTGACAGAAATGATTGCTTTATGTGGTTGTTTGTTGAAGGGGTATATCATGCCCGACTCCCAGGATGCCAAAGACATGCCCAAGGGCGACATGAAGCGTCGCGAGGCCGCATGGACTGAGAAGAAAATCAAACTGAAAAACCCAAACTATGCCATCAACCCACTCCGTAAACACGCAGAGGGCACGAGGACATGTGTGCTTGCCTTCCTACGTTATATTTTCTGGTGCTGCTGTCTATCAGGTTTGTCTATTCGCAATCTGCCCTTGTCTGTTGACCCCAATGGGCTGCGATCGGCCATCACATCCATCCTGACCAGTGACGACAGGGGCAAGGCAGCTCTCAGGTGACGAGCCGTGCGATCGGGGGATGATGCCACGGCACAGTCACATGAGACTGGTTTCTCGTCTGCATATTCAGGGCACCTCCATCTGAGTGGGACGACCCACAAGCGAGACTGGTCGACACGGTGGGCCTGCAGGATGACAAGATGCTCAAGAAGAAAGCGGTGGCGGCCGTCAAGAGGGTAGGCGTCAGTATTCTGCCCACGCAGATACCTGTTTGATCACTGTATGACCAAGACCGCAAGACCTATGTCGGGTCGCTGGGGCAGGAGAAAGTGCGACGATCGAAGGTCGGTAGACAGATGGCTTCGACCCATACACAGCCACCCGCATATGTCTTTCCTTGACTTGTTGACGTACATGTATCTAGGGTTTTGCGTTTGTTGACTTCGGGCGGCATCGCGTGGCGCTGGCAACCCTCCGCTACCTCAACAACAACCCCACCGTGTTCGCCAAGCAAAAGTGAGCATGTGTGGTAATGCCTAGTATTCACATATCTACGTGCGCTGGTGCTTACCCGATGCGCAGGTGTCCCATAGTTGAGTTTGCCATTGAGGACAAGCGAGCCCTCAAATACAAAGTATGACACGTGCATAAGCAGCGCACCAGCAGGCACAGCCACACTGGCTGCATGCTGCCTTGCTTCTCCGCAGGAGATGCGCCGCGAGAAGGTCGAGAAAAGAAAGGCAGCAGCACTCGAAAAGCCGGCAACCGACGACGCGCAGGCCGAAAAAGAGAAAATGGCAGCGGGCGGGGAGCCGAGGGAGGACAGCACAGCAGAGATCAAGAAGAAAAGCAGAGGTCCGGATGGACGTTTGCAACGGCATACTCAGACTTGAATGTGATGCGTTGTGTGACGGGCTGCAGGTCAGCGTCAGCGCGAGAGGCGACGCCAAGAGAGGGATGCCATGGATACTGAGGAGCACCAACAGACGCAGGATGAGCCACGGGCCACCAAGAAAAGGAAGGCGGAGGATATCGCCCGGTACGGACACGTATAGAGTGGAGCACAGATGCACGTCTGCATGTGTTGATCTGTCCACCCCATGTCGTGAAGGAGGGCCACCTGTTGGACCGTCTGGCCAAGTCGGCGACGCCCCATGAAGCGAGCGGCGCTGCTCTCCTCATCAAGATGCACAAGAAGGGAACCGTTCATGAGAGTGACGACCTGGAGGTGAGGAACGACCACACGAGCAAGTTCGCGAGGGCATTACGCTTCTTTCTTGCACTTTTTCTCAGTTGTCGGCTCTCGCCCGTCGGAAGCGAAAACTGATTCAGATGGGCCCGAATCTTTTGTGCATATGTCAACGAACAATGTGACGTATTCACTGTGATGGCGTTTGAGACTATCTATGGTTGTTGCTCGTTTCTGTTTTGACCGTCCACTGCTAAGTCACACACACATTCCAGATCGAAACAGATCCACCCACACACCCGTCTACTCTAGGCATGTAGGATCGTCAACACAAGCCGTCCAACAGTCCAAGGCACTCACACCCACCCACACGCAGAACGAATGAATTAATGAATGGATGAAATGCATCACCATCTCTCAATCGCACCGATCACGAATAACGTCATGCAGAGGGCCATCCATCTATAACACGTTCTCACGAGAAACAGACTCCTTCTCACGAGAGACAGACTCGAGAATGGCCAGAAAGTGATTGAATGAATAAAGGGGAGAAACTGTCATTAACCGTAACACTCGTCTGTGTGTCCGTGATACTCATACAAATACAGTCCCATCAGCACGCAGAGTCAAACAGGCTCAAGGGTTCCGGCAGTCACATCGTCGGCTGCATGTGGACAGCGCAGACGTCCCTTTCTCGTTGCATGCGCAACAGGGGGGCCCGCCGCCGTCTCGCGGGATGAGGGCAGGTGGAGGGGGTTGGGTGTAGTCCGATACACGCTCGCTCATCCGAAAAGGAGGAGAAACAGCCGAGAAATCACCAATTCAATCATGGGGGGAGGATTCCTACCAGCTAACGACGAAACTGGTGCTGTAAGTGTTATCACTTCGCGACTGCTTCGCGAACGCCTCGCAGTGAGTCGGCAACTGTGAGACTGTCTTGAATGAATAAATGAATGAATGAATGAATGAGTCAACGAAACGATACGAATAATGACGCAAGGGCAGCAACTTGCAGTCACTGCAATGTGGCTATCTGACCAATCAACCGCCCGACCACCACAGACAACCAAGCGACACATGCGTGCAGCCTGCACTGATGCTACTCTCCTGAGCCTTGCCACGGCCTCTCTCCATGAATCATGAGCTCCAACAATCCAAGGCACTCACACCACACGAAGAACGAATGAATGAACAAATGACATGCATCACCAAGTCTCAATCGCACTGATCGCGACCCTGCGGATGACGAAAATGAAATCACCCAGTAGACAGATACAATCGTCACTTCGGGGTGTGTAAATGAGTTCGATAGGACTGTTAGATATAGGTGAGACACACCATTGCTTGTTGCTTGTGTTGTGTGAGTGAGTGAGTGATGTCGATGGGCGGGTGGCTGGGTGATTGAACGGATGGATGGCTGCAAAGTGTGATGTACAACGTTAACGGGAGACAGGCGCCGGCGACCATCGGCTCATTTTCGCTAGCTTTGTGCTTCGGTAATGTGAGGCGACCAGGTACGAAAACATAGAGGCATTCTACACGCTCACTCAGGGTCAGCAATTTCAGCGCCGTCTACGAATGGCTGATTCATATCTATGTTCAGCTTGATCAATCAATCAATCAATCATTCACCATTGCAAAGAGGTCTCAGAAGTGAATGACTCATTCAATCATTCGTTGACTCATTCATTCATTCATTCATTCAATGACTTTCCGGCCATTCTCGAGTCTGCTTCTCGTGAGAAGGAGTCTGTTTCTCGTGAGAACGTGTTCTATCCACCCACCCACTGGCAGCCACCTGCAGGTACAGGGGTGGTACAAGCTACACTAACCGCTCCATCACTACCGGAGCATTACTATAATTATACATCCAGCTATGGCTGACAGAATCTACAATTTGCACCCACATCACTCAACTGAGGGAATATCTATCTGAGATGCACTTTCGAGTGTTCGCATCTTTAAACAAATAGACCATTGAGAATGACTTAGTCTCAGCTCCGGCACGGAACATGGCAGTGTTGGCAAAGGACGTTGCCGTAGTGACCGATGCACATCCCCATCCCATCACCAGCCACTCCAGCAGCGGATGAGAAATTCTCACCGATATGTGAGCTGTATGCTCAATTTTGACGTCATTGTACGCAACACGCCCATACCTCGATAATCGTTCTTTGGCCTTCACCCGAAGCTCGGCCGAGTCAGAAGTGAAAAACACTGATGCGTTCCACGACGAGACATTGAGCATGTCGCCAAACAAGGTATCCACACATGACCAAAACTCGTTTTGACGCCAAATTATGGTCTTATGCAAGGAGCGCTCATCAAAAAAAGTACGAAACTGAACCACAGCAAGAGGACGGTCGAGATATAATCCGATTGCCCTCATAAGTTCCATTGCTTTGTGAACCACCTCCTCTTTAGGTTTTGACAGCAACCAGGCCAAAGCACTTTGGAGCGGGCCAAAGGCGTCCGACAGTTCCTCCCAAAAATGTCGTCAAAGCGTAAGCGATATTTCGGATGGTTGAGTGTGATCATGAACGCACCGTGGCCATCCCTATTGATCACCAGCCGCTTGGAATACAGCTTGTTCCAGTCGGCATTGGCAGCTTGGAACTGGCCGGATTTCAATAAAACATTCTGACGTTCGTCGTCTGGTACAGCCTGAGCCACACTATTTGCACCATATCTGTTGTCGCAAGGGACGAAGAAAGCATTCTGGCCGAGTGTTGGCGAATCAAACACTATGTGGAAGGCACCATGGTCGATCAGGAATATGCGCTCGGTAGCCAAAGAAAACAACAAAGTGGACACCGAGGACCCAATGCGATTCCCCCAACCGGGATGTCCTCTTTCATAGCGATACACGACATAGCGGCGCTTCTCGGCAGGCAAAGCCATGTTCAGCGAATAAATCCGCTCCAACTCTCGTATGACGGGTTGCGAGTCGAGATCAGGAAACCCGACCCGTCCTTCAATCACGTCCAAAGGGGTGAAGGGGAACTTATGCCCAGCTTTCACCGCTGTATTTGGGAAGTGACTTTCTTTTTCAGACACAATGTCATCGGATGCCTTCAGGGGACCCTCTCCCAGGATCTGCGCCGCCTTGAGTACCACGGGTGCAGAAAGAGTACGATGCCGGTGAACAGCAGCGCGGAAGCGAGAAGGAAACGGGGCCGTGGAAACATTATTATTTCTCGTTTCAAGTCCCGATAAAAACGGACGCGTTATCTGGGAAGCCTAACCGCTCGTGGAAAAAACGGCTTTTTCCTTGCCGAGAAACACGATCGGCAGTACCGAGACACCCAGAAATTTGAAGGAAATCATTGATTGATTGACTGATTGATTGATTGATTGATCGAATGATTGTTTGATTAATTCATGTTCCTGCCTGCTGTAGCCCGGGGTTTTGTCCGTGACAGGACAACGCTATGAAATAGCGCTTACTCGATGCTGATTCACCAATCGATAAGAGACACAATTAAGAATGAATGACGACAAGCACACGAGTCAAGTCGACCTGATGTCACGACGAGTCAAAGGAGGCAACGAGTCGCAATGGCACTGGCTACACACACACACAAGTCGAATGTACAAATGCACACGTCTCAAGACTAGTCAGTGTCCGTCCTGTCAGTCCTATCCCTCTACCCGCTTTTCCTGTCTTTGTCGGCCACGCGCAGAGGCGCCAATCGGCAGAGGAAGCACGAGGCACCAGGGGCTGGTGCGATAGAGCTGTTGATCAAACAAGCCTGCCGAGCCGCAGGGAATGACGTCTTGACCACGAGATCTTGTCGGAGAGAAGCTGGGTGCGTGGATCTGGCGAAGACAGTCCTCGCCTGTGGTCTTCGGCCCCGTCTGGCCGGCTGGGATGATCACGGTGGGGTGAGGTGTTGGAAGGAAAGACACGGAGACGCCGCTCCGTGCAGTGGGCTTGCTGACGACGGTTGAGAGCACAAATACCTCTGGGGGGGCACGGAAGGCTCAGATGCTTGAAATCCACTAAGACAAAAGATGGATGCCGATGGGTCGGAAAATGGATGACCAGATGAAGCAAATGAGGCAGGAATGGGCCCTCTCGCTGAGGAAGTCCTGATTCGATGAGGACTTTCTCATCCGGATGAGGAAATCCTCACTCATAATAGTTTCACGATGCGAGCTTGGCAACCGGACCTAAAGCATCAGGCCCTTTATTCTTTGGTCTGAGACTCATCGATCTCCTTTTTCCTTTCAGAACTGTGAAAAACGAGGGCTACATCTCCAAGGGGTGAACGCACTCACGGGGAGGTGCAGAAAATTTTAATTTGGCCCATCGCCTCTCACATGAACCACAGGGACACGGAGCAGAAAAACTGGATGGCGAGAGAATGAGCCCGCCTTGCAAACTCCCTCGGGCTTTTGCCTCCTTGAATCAGTAAAAACGGAATCCGAAACAACGGTGCAGCTACCGTTGGGTGGCGGCTGAAATTTGAGGAACCTTTTTGACAGCGTCGTAGTTCTGGCCGCCTGCGTGTGGACTCAGCACAGCGAGATATGTCATGCACGTGCTGTCAGCTTTCACACTTAGGTCTCTTTCTCAAACGGCGCAAAGCGATAGCCGCTGGGGTGCAGACACAGACTGCAAAACGTATGAGTACATGTGCTTGGCATGAAATGAATTACAGTGTGCAATGAACTAGAATCCGAAGAGAAGTCAACACCGCCAAATGCCGTGTAATCGACACCAGTTTTCCCATTTTTTGAGACAACAAGACGGTCATGAGCACTGCGCGCTTGCGTGTGAATACAGCATAGCGAGATATATCATACATTCACACAATCGTGCTGTTTAGGTCCACAGCTGTCTCGAGTTTCGGTGGCGGTATGATGCAGTAACACACTTGTATTGAGTTCGGTCCACAAGTGCTGTCAGCAGTTGTCAGCATTCACATTTGGCTCTCTTTCTTCAAACGGCGCAAAACGATGGCCGCTGGTCATGATACAAAGTGCATAACGTATGATGACATGTGCCTGGCGTGGAATGAGATACAGTGCGCAATGAACCTTGTCAACCAAGTTCCATGTAATGGACACCAGTTTTCCCATTTTTTTGACACAATGATACGGTCATGAACGGTCGCCGCGTGCGTGTGAATACAGCATAGAAAGTCGTTTCATGCATTAACACAATCGTGCTGGTTTAGGTCCACAGCTGTGCCCACGTTCGGTGCCTAGTTCTCTTTCTCAAGACGGCGCAGAGCAATGGCGGCTGGCGTGCAGACACAGCATGAC